CTTGTCAAATTAGGGCCCAATAACTTTATAAAATCTTCAGACCATTACATAGTCAATTAAATAAAAAGTTCTATAATTACTAAGAAAATTCATTAAAAAATGTAATTGATTGGATTAACATCTACCCTAAATAAGTATATCATATATTATTTTATGAATATTAACTTAAAAAAATAACTCTAACCTACGTCAATATAAAAGTGAAAAGTGACGAGTACATACTTATATTTTTATCTAACTTTTAATTTTGATTTTTTAATTAATTTATATGTTTAAAAGATTAATTAAATTAAGATTTTTTATAATTAAATTTGTTGAATATGAGATAAAAAAACATATTAAAAGTTAATTTGATGGCAGTATTGAAATAAATTAATTAAAACTTCATTATAATAAAACTAAGAATAACAAATAATAAAACTCATAAAAAAAGTCAGCATAAAAAAAATAAAAGCAGTTTGGCAAAAACAAAAAGAAAGACTTTGATGATATAAAAATATTTATGATAAAAGATAATTCAAGGGAAATATATCTTTGTATATTTTATTAGATATTTAAAAATAATTATCTTATTTAATTATATTAGAAATATCAAAAATAATAATTGTTAAATCTTTTGAAATATCACAAGATCTTAAATATTTTTAAATCTATGTAAGAACCAACTATATTTTAGAGATATAGGATTTGTTTAGAATTTAATTGTAAAAAAAATTCATTTCCTAATAAAAAATACGCATTTATGCACAAATATGCACAAAGTAACCACTTTACAATAAAAAATTCATTTCCTAATAAAATCATACAGGGCACGGGTTATAATTTTAGAATAACAAAACTTCACCCACCACCACTTGCGGCTCGAAGAAGAAGGGCACACCAGAAGTTGCGACGCGAGGAAGGCGGTGAGGATGGCGGCGGCGGCCACTGTGACAGTGATAGCAAACCAGACGAACGACAACGGGGACGAAACGCGACCACGCACGGCGACTGAATGAGCGACGACGACCACGATCAGCAACCGGACCAAGCGCAATCACGAACGACAATCGGACAGAGCGGAGCTGGACAACGAGCGACGAAGATCAGTGGTGGAGTGAAAGAAAAACAAAGAACACTAATCAGGTTTTAAACCCTAAACCAAACCAACCTTCTTTTCTTCGTTTCTGGCTTTTTTGAACTCGCTAACTATTCCACCGAGTCCATGTCCGATTCTACCGAGTTCAGTCCAAAAACGAGTTTGGTACCGAGTTAACTCGGCAACCATGACTGGAAACGTAAACTCGGACGAGTTAACGAGTTAACTCGCGAGTTTGATAACCATCCCTGTTTGTGAAGATGTCAAGATACACTATTACCCTTCTTTTTTTGTACAAGAAGGAAGAACTAGAAAGCTCAGATACTGAGCTTTTTGTTGCTTTGACCACAGCATTCAATTTTCACACGATAGTCTAAAACTATGCTTGGACGGGATATCAGGACATGGGGTTCAATCGTTCGGAGCTTGTGTTTAGATGCAAGACACAGCGAAGCCTTGTCTCTTTTCCACCTCTGTTTAAAGAGTTATGAAGCTTTTAAACCGGATCACACTGTCATGGCTGCCATTCTCAAGTCTTGTTCTGCTCTTTTGGTTCCCAAATTGGGCAGAGCTGTGCATAGTTATGTTGTTAAACAAGGTCATGTTTTTTGCCAAGTTACCAATAAAGGGCTGCTCAACATGTATGCCAAATGTGGCATGCTTGATGACTGCCTCAAGCTGTTTGCTCAACTCAATCACCGTGACTCTGTTACTTGGAATATTGTTTTGTCTGGATTTTCAGGGTCCAACAAATGTGATCCGGATGTGACGAGGATATTTAAGATGATGCATACCGGTGGGGAGGCAATGCCAAATTCTATTTCTGTTGCTACTGTCCTTCCTGTTTTTGCTCGTTTGGGGAACCTGGATGCTGGATTGTGTGTACATACTTATGTTATCAAGTCTGGTTTCGAACAAGACACCCTTGTTGGAAATGCTCTCGTGTCAATGTATGCAAAGTGTGGGTTGGTGTCCCGAGAAGCATATGCTGTCTTTGATGATATTGTTCACAAAGATGTTGTTTCGTGGAATGCAATGATTTCGGGCTTGGCTGAGAATGGGTTAGTGGAGGATGCATTCTTGTTGTTCAGTTCAATGTTGAAAGGGCATATGCAGCCAAATTATGCGACTACTGCAAATATTTTGCCTGTTTGTGCCTCATTTGATAAGAGTGTTGCATACCGTTGTGGAAGGCAGATCCACTCTTATGTGCAACAGTGGCCTGATTTGTCAGCTGATATTTCTGTCTGTAATGCTTTGATTAGCTTCTACTTAAAAGTTGGGCAAATGAGGGAAGCAGAAGCTTTGTTTTGGACAATGGATTCAAAGGATTTGGTCACGTGGAATGCTCTTGTTGCAGGGTATACATCAAATGGTGAATGGTTAAAAGCACTGCATCTGTTTGGTAATTTAGTATCACTTGAAACGTTATTGCCAGATTCTGTGACCATGGTCAGCATACTTCCAGTTTGTGCACAATTGCAAAATATGCAGGTGGGGAAACAAATCCACGCTTATATTTTCAGACGTCCTTTCCTTTTTGATGATACTTCTGTTGGAAATGCTTTAATCAGTTTCTTTGCAAAATGCGGCTATACAGGAGAAGCATATTATACTTTTTGCATGATACCCAGGAAAGATTTGATCTCGTGGAATTCTATTTTTGATGCCTTTGGCGAGAAGAGGCATCATTCAAAATTTATTGACTTGTTACATCGGATGCTTAAACTCAGAATTAGACCTGATTCAGTTACAATGTTGACCATAATCCGATTTTGTGTATCTTTTTCCAGAGTAGAAAAGGTTAAAGAAATACATAACTATTCAATTAGAACTGGATCTTTATTAAGTGATACTGCACTAACAGTTGGGAATGCAATACTTGATGCATATTCTAAATGTGGAAACATGGAGTATGCAAACAAAATGTTTCAGAATCTATCAGAAAAAAGGAATCTGGTCACATCCAATTCACTGATATCTGGTTATGTGGGTTTAGGATCACATCTTGATGCAAACATGATATTTAGTACAATGTCAGAGACTGACCTTACAACATGGAATCTCATGGTTCGGGTATATGCCGAAAATGATTGTCCTGAACAAGCTCTTAGATTGTTCCATGCGTTACAAGCTCGAGGGATGAAGCCTGATACGGTGACTATCATGAGCCTCCTTCCAGTCTGCACACAAATGGCATCAGTACGCTTGCTGAGCCAGTGCCATGGGTATATTATTCGGTCAATTTTTAAGGATCTTCACCTCGAAGTTGCCCTCTTAGATGCATATGCCAAATGCGGCCTCATAGGTCATGCATATAAGATATTTCAATTGAGTGCTGATAAGGATCTGGTTATGTTTACTGCTATGATTGGTGGGTATGCTATGCATGGCATGAGTGAAGAAGCACTTTGGATATTTTCTCATATGCTGAAGTTGGGAATCCAGCCAGATCATATAATCTTTACTTCCATATTATCTGCTTGCAGTCATGCTGGTCGAGTAGATGAAGGACTGAAGATATTTTATTCAATAGAGAAACTTCATGGTATGAAACCAACTTTGGTACAGTATGCATGTGTGGTGGATCTCCTAGCTCGAGGTGGCCGCATTAGTGAAGCATACTCTCTTGTGACTAGTTTACCAATTGAAGCTAATGCTAATCTTTGGGGGACATTGCTTGGTGCCTGTAAAACACACCATGAGGTAGATTTGGGGCGTATTGTAGCAAACAAACTCTTCAAAATTGAAGCTAACAATATAGGAAACTACATTGTACAATCAAATTTGTTCGCAGCGGATGCTAGATGGGACAGGGTAATGGAAGTGAGAAGAATGATGAGGAACAAAGATTTGAGAAAGCCAGCTGGATGCAGCTGGATCGAAGTAGAGAGATCAAATAACATTTTTGTGGCTGGAGATTGTTCCCACCCCCAAAGAAGCATTATTTACAGTACACTACACACATTGGATCAACAAGTTAAAGAACCCGTGGAGTTTTTAGCTTAATCCTGGATAAGTATTATGGCATTGTGAAGACATATCTCAGACATATTTAGTGACCCATCTCTCCTTTTTCTTTTCACATATCTCAGACAAATGAATTGTGTGAATTGCATCTTGTATCACACATGAATAGTTTGATTCTTCCACAGCAGGTTGCAGCACCTTGCCATCCAATGGTCATTCGTGTTTTGCACCTGGCAGTTGTGGTTGCACGTGATGCTTTTTTCCAGTCACAAATCATGGAAAATGGTGACCAAAGTGGGGTAAATTGTGTTTTTCTCACTGAGTTCAGATAGTTGGCCTTATGATGCCATTTCTTGCTGTATTTTTCTTCTCCTCTTCTATAATTGCATGACTCTTGTTATTAAATTCACTATTTTGCTTAGTATTATGACTTTTGTACAATTTACTACACTTTATGTGGTATGATACAAATTTATGTCATTCTTGGTGATGGATATGAATTGTGGGCTGGAATGATTTTGTACCCTAAAATCAAACCACATAAATCAACGAACCAACACATTATTGCCTGTGTTCTTCCTGATATTCCATTGATATTTCCCCTTCAGTTATATCTTATTTATTGTGTCTCCTTCTTTCAATGTTTTGAGTTCATAATATGAGGTGTTGATTATTTTCCTTGTTTGAGAATGTAATATTTTATTGAATGAATTTCTACACTGTTTTGATTTACTTGTGTCAACAGCTGTTGGTAGATTAAGACTGCTATTTGCCAAGTAAAATTAAAGTAGGTTTTTCCTTTTTTTATTGTAGTTGATGGATTATCTGACATTGTTTCTTTTCAAGCTCCTTCAGTTTTATGATTCTGTGTGCACTTTATTCTTTTCCGTCAGTTATACTGAACACACAAAAATAATGATACAGAACAGAGCATATACAAATGAGTTCGAAAAGAGGGAGTGGGAGACCCAAAACATGGCTATACAAAATGGATATGTCCAAAGGGAAGAGCATATCCGAATCTCAGATTAGTATTGATCAGTTGACTCAGAGTGTTGCTGAACACCATGCTAAACTCAGGGGACAAGATGATGGTGGAAAATGGGAGGTATATGCAAAAAAAAATCGAAAAGAACAGAGGCGGAAGCAGTGCTGCCAAAGCCATGGGGGGCGGCCCCACGCCCATAATTTAATCCTAAGACTGGGGTGAAGCAGGAAAATGGCTCAAAAAGCCAGTGCATCCGGAATCCATGGGAGGAGTGTTGGAAGATCTTCTGGGAAAATTCTGGCAACTACAAAAATGCCAACTTAGGAGGGACCAGGGGCTGGCAGAGGGGAAAAAAAATGGTAGGCCTCAGTCAGCAACAAGTTGGATATGAAGGCAACTATGTGCCTCCAATACCCTTAATTGGCCTCCACTTGAGCATGGCTGGAAAATTGGCAATCCAGACCTGGTGCAATAACAGCCCAATGTAAGGAATTTGAAATAGCACCTGAAGAAACTTGACAGAATAATGATGTTGATGATGATGATGATGGAAGAGGAGGACTCAGATGCTTTGGAAAGATACTGTGATGATCTAAATGAGTGATACTATGATTCTGATGTTAGTCACAAAGAGGCCATAGACACCTAGTAAGAACGACAAATGGTTTAGGAAGTTCTTTGAGAATTTGGATGGCTTGACTGTTGAACAGATTAATGAACCAGAAAGACAGTGGCATTGTCCAGCTTGTCAAGGTGGTCCTGGAGCTATTGATTGGTACAGAGGACTGCAGCCCTTGGTGACACATGCCAAAACAAAGGGATCTAAAAGGGTGAAGATTCACCGAGAACTTGCTATACTTTTGGATGAGGAATTACGCAGGAGGGGTACTTCAGTAATTCCAGCTGGGGAGGCATTTGGAAAATGGAAAGGTTTGAAAGAAGAAGAAAAAGATCATGAAATAGTTTGGCCTCCAATGGTTATCATTCAGAATACGAAGCTTGAACAGGACGAAAATGATAAGGTGTATATTTTTATGGTGTCAAATGATGAATAACTACTAGTGTCATGTTAATATTTGGCTGGTTTGTATTTATGGTAGCATAACGTTCACACAAATGTCACACATTACTGCTTGTATGTTGACTCCGGATTTGTCTTTTTTATTCAGTGGTATAGTATGGGTAACAAGAACTATAGAACTTATTGATTATTTTAGCACTATTGGCTGGCTGTTTAAAGCTCGCCATCTCTTACGGCGGCCCACAAAGGTCATCGAGGGTGAGGTGTTGATATTGAAGCATCAGCAAGCGGCTTATCTAGAGGCAGAGCGTCTGGACAAGCATTTTACAGAGCAAGGAACTGATAAAGATTCTTGGTTCAATCGCCCTAATTTATATCTCCCTGGGGGAAAGCGCCAGCTCTATGGTTACATGGCTACAAAAGAAGATCTTGACTTTTTCAATAGGCATAGCCAAGGTTTCATTTCCTCTTTCCTCATTACTTTTCTTCTTATTTGTACTGTGCAAATTGTTGTGTTACTATATATGGCAGGTTAAATTTATGTTTACAAAGTAATAAGCTGGCTTTTGTCAATCCTCTTCTCATCTGAAATCATGTAGGTAAATCTAGACTTAAAATTTGACCATGAGATCATTACCAGGAGATGGTTGTACACCAAATTCGCCAAATGAATGAAGACAACCAACAACTTTATATATTTAAGAACAAGGTTGTGAAAACAACTAAACACACGAAAACTCTTGAAGAATCCATTGGTAAAATGTCTGAAAAGCTGCGCAAGACAATGGAGGAGAACCGCATAGTGCGGAGGAGAACTAAAATGCAACATGAAGAGACTATAGAGAGTAAATAACTAGGATCAACAGTTAATTTATGGTTTATTTTTATTGTAAAGTTGGTTACTTGTGACATATTTGCTACTTCGGATGTACTTGTACGTCGTATTTACTTTCTGCTGTCAGCGAGTTGTGGTTAAAATGTTTGTTTCTGCTTTGATTGTTTTGTTCAAAAGTTTGAGCTGTAATTTATGTGTTTAGTACAATAGTGGATAAGCTAAGGTTAGGGTCACTTTTTATCTTCTTCTGTGTGAGATATTTGTGCTTATGGAAAAATGGCTTGCATTGTACCATTGAATTCTGTTTGATGTGTCAAATTCAGGACCATCACTTAACTTAAGTAGATCATAGTTATAGAGTTGCATATCTGCATTTATTTCCCACCGTAAATGTCACGTTTGTTACTACTATATTGTCCCCTGCTTTCATTAAAAGTAAAAAAAAAAATAATCAATGAGCAATGATATGGTTGCACTGGCCTACATTTGCATTATGTTATCTATCGAAATGCTTGTTATATAATTGATGCCTTGAAAGAGAAACCACAAAATCCTGTAAATATTTGGATCTAGGTTTGTTACTTTTATCGGTCTGGGGCACACACCGTTAACCCAGTTTTCCAGAACAAATTAATTGAATGATTCCATCCATGTTCTTGCCTTCTTGGTTTACCTTTTCCAATGACCCTGAGCTTAACATGTTTTTTCTTCAAGAAACAAAAATGTTATTTGTTATTTGTCTTTGTTCAATATAGTAAAAACTATGTAGACAACAAGGTACTCTATTTATAATAGAAGAATATGAGTTAAGTTCAAAATTCAAATAAAGAATAATAACAAACTAACTAAAGATAAAAGATAAAAATAAGATATCTAATAATTTAATATATCTAACAATCTTAAATGATCTCTAGGTTATCATATTTTTTCTTTTATGGTAACGTTTCTCACTATTGTATTCTGTCAATCAAATGAGATGTATATGCAAGACAATTTTTCAAGGACCAGATAAAGATCATTCATGATTCAAGGGATGAAAGGGAAAGAAGATTTTGAGAAGATGCAACGAGGAACGTGAGATGTGAAGCAGTCAAGCACTACTGGTCATGCAAATGCTGAGGAATATAGACTCAGTATGTAATTTTTTATTCCTTCCATTGGACTAATGATATATTCACATCTATAAAGTTTGTGAAAGTGTTACGTAAGAAAATTGAATCATTAAAGAGTTATTGTTTTTTGAGAAAAAACTAATTTCACATAATCAGAACTCAAGTTCCCTGCCGCCCTAGTGGGTTAAAAATTATTTGGACAGGGCATGGCATGATATTTTACAATGGATTTTGGTGAATTTGATGTAGGGTGGAAGAATATCTAAAATTTGTTGAGGTTCAAGATAAAGAAATGGAGAATTTTGTTGCTGAAAAGGAGAAACTGTTGCATGCCCATCAAGTGGGTTATGCTGCTTTGAAGAAGAGGCATTGGGAGGAAGAGGTGGAGCATGAGCAGAAGTTTGATGAGGAACTGACCAAGCTCATGGAAAGTATTCCCCTTCCTAGACTAACTAATGTGGGGTCTTTGCTTTGACTCATACAAACATATAAAACATCAGCCCTGACCATAGACAAAAATAAATAGAGTTGCCCAGACCTTTTACTACTATTCAGTATGTCTTTTTATTTCTTTGGTACTTTTCAACATTTGGGTCCATGCCTGGAAAAACCCAACAGTTAAAATTTTAAATTGCTGTTTTGGCAAATTGGAAGTTATATTTCATGCAATTGAGTTACTTTCTTATCAAATGTGGGTCATGATGAGTCTAGATGGTTGTGTTTTCTGTTGTGTGGGATTTTTTGCTGTTCTTTTTAAATATTTTTTATTAAATCTAATCACGTCATTAATGCTTTGACTGAAAAAAAAAAAAGTGTAAATGGCTGCTTAAATTGAGGCTTTGTATGTGCAATTTGGGAAATTTTCTTCATATTTCTTTCGGGTAATTTTATTCTGTTTTTGAGGAAAACAAGAAAATGCTCTTTATACTATGCGAAATAATATCACTCATTTATTTTCTTAAAGCGCCTTATATATAAAAAAAAATGAGACGATTTCATTTATCTTTTCTGAATTTTCTCATCTTTACATTATGATTGGATAGAAATTGTTTTGAGAATAATTCATTTTTTATAAAGGATTCGGAACGTTTTATGAAAGAAAAATATTGATTAGAAAGGAAGTTTTAAAGGCAATTGAAATTATAGTATCTTCGAGGTTAGTTTTATTATTTATAATTTAAATAAATTTGAAACTTAAAACATGAAAAGTTACATTTTTTTTTATACTTTTTCTTTCTCATATATATATATATATATATATATATATATAATATTCGTATTTTCTCTTGTATGCATTGTTGTAGTTGGAATGGCATTAACTTGGATAAAATTAACGATATCATATGATAAGATGTATATTTTTTATTTTCATGTTAAAGTCAAATGTAGTTATTTTTTTATTGTCAGGATTTTTTTTGTCAACATAGACTAGTGTAATTTATAAATTAACAATATCTATAGTCTTTTTTTGTTATCATCAGTATCAATTATATATGTTAAATACAAAATTTATTCTATTGAAGTTAAATGAGATAATTTTAGTAGATTCAAGTTATTTTTTAATGTTTTTCAAAACATAAATCAATTTTTTTATTAATATTATAAAAGAGAATATTATATCAATAGAAAAGACATAAAAAGTTAAAGTCCATGTTTCTTTATTTGAACGACCTAATTTTGATATCTTTGTCATTTTTCACGTCCTTTCTACTCCATTATAGTTAGAATTGATTTTATTACAATTTCTTAATGAATTATGATGTTACAATAAAATAATTTGTTGTGATTTATGTTTATGTCTTTTATCTTTGAATCAAGTAAAAGTAACAATTTTTACATTGTAACTAGTTAGTACGATGTTTAATCTACATGCATATTAATCATATGAGTCAAATAATTTTTAGTTTTAATTAAGAATGTAATTTGATTAAAATTAGAAATTTTCATGTGATTGAATGAGTTTTTGCGAAAATGTACTTTGATAAAAATGAAGCATGAATAAGAATTGATAAAAAATATAAGTTGGTTAATTAGTTTTTTTTACTTAATAAAAGTGATAAAAAAAAATAGACATTACTATAGTGATATTTAATTGAAAATGTAGTTTGGTTACATTTACTATGATTACTTTAACAAATTTATGCTTAAGATATACTTTAACAATTTAATATAAAAACTTGTACAAAGAGTTAAAAAAACATAATACAATAAAATATAAAAATAAAGATATAGCCTAATGAAATTAAAATTAGTAAATATGGATGATATGCAAAAGTTAATATGCCTAAAATAAGTAAAAGTGCACCTAAGAGAATTAAAATGAAAATGCTTATGAGATTATGTGCCTAATACTACTCTATGACAAAGATGAGTTTTTGGTATTCAATTATGATAAACAAATTAAATTAAATCAAATAGCAATAAAGTAAATTACAAGTAAATAAAAGACTTTTAAACTGATAGTAAAATAGATGGATTATGTAAGATTCATAATTAATTTTTTTAAGATTATTATTCAATTGATATTATTATTTATTTAAAATTAATTAAAGTAATTCTTAATTAACTTGTTAGCATTTTCTACATTAACCAAAGTACATTTAATTAAAAATAATAACTTTTTTGATTTATCATAGTAAATTTACCTATAATATATTTTTAATTAAAAATTATTATGTCTAATCATGTTTATTCTTGTACCACCTTTATCAAGTAAAAATTTAATTAAACAAAGTACATTCTTGATTAAATTTTGTTCAATTTTTAACCTTTAATTAAAGTATATTTTCAATTATTAGTAAAAACTTCTTCAATCACATGAAAACTTTTAATTCTAATCAAGTACATTATTAATTAAAATTAAAAACCTTTGACTATTAAGATTAATATGCATGTAAATTAAACAACATGCTAATTAGTTACAATGTAAAAATGATTATTTTTACTTGATTGGAAGATAAAAGACATAGATAAACTTAAATCATAACAATAATAAAAAAGAAATAAATTAGTTCACTTTAACATTAGAATTTATTAAGAAATTACAACAAAATTAAATCTAGAAGCAAAGGAGTCAAAAGGACGTAAAGATGATAAAAAGGTCGAAATTAGGTTTTACAAAGGGTTCATAAGTTTCTAGATGTGTTTCCTTAAGTCTTTTTATATAGAAATCAAGTTAATTTTTTTTTTATCCTTTTTGTTATTATAATTTTTTTTATTATATGTAATATTTTTCAATTAAATTCTAAACAAATCACATATTCAACAATGACATTATGACATGGGAGAAGAGTAGCCTAGAAGTGACCACAATCACACCACCATTCATTTAGGCTGACCTTATAGGAAAGTGGAACAGGGTGGTAGTGGTGAGGTGTTGAAATTTCTTGAACATCAAATTCAGAATTTTCACGGTTGTAGCGATGAACATGACAAAATGCGGATTGTTGTTGATTTTTCCTAATGATGTCGGCGATTTGTTCAGGAAATTGGTGGCCTGCTTGTAACATACAATTCGCCTTTAATCCTCGTTCAACAAACCATGATTGTGTCCTCTCAAATGTTGTTCTGATGAGAGCACATATTGGTAATGAACGTGCTCCCTTTAAAATGGAGTTGGTGCACTCAGCAAGATTAGTGGTCATATGTCCATATCTTCTCCCTCCATCAAAAGCCTGAGACCATTTTTGTAATGGGATTTTATCTATCCAATAAACTTGTTGTGGGTATTGGTTTCTTAGTGCAGTAAGTTTTGAAGTAACAGTTGGTTGCTTGACCTAGTAAGATGTAATGACGTAAAAAATAAATAAATTTTAGAATAATGTTACAAAATTATAAAAGTAAAAGTGTATTAAAAATGTTTGTAGTAGTACCTAAATTGATGAATTGTTTTTTGAGGTCATGATTTTTGAATTTGTTGTTGAAGTTGGATGCTAGATGACGTATGCAATAAACAAAGTTCAAACCATCTTGTTCCCAACCAACTTCTTCAGATCTTAAGGCCGATAGGATACCCTTTCCTCTGTCAGTGATGATGCAAATATTTTGTTGAAGGAAAACATGTTCTCGAAGTAATTGAAAGAACCATATCAAGGCCTCCTTTGTCTCACCTTCTACAATGGCAAAGGCCAACGGGAAAAGATTTCTATTGCCATCTTGAGCTATGGCGGTGAGCAAAGTTCCATGATATTTACCCGTTAGAAATGTACCATCAACTTGGAGTACTGAACAATATAGCATTGTATATTGGTGTATATATTTTGTTCAAATTTGGCTTAATTTGTTTTTAACCAAAAACTTCAATACTTCAGTTTATATGGACACCGTACAGACGTGATGACATTTGTCAAATCATTCTAGTCGAAGTGCCCCCGACTTGTCGGGCAGTTGTGCCTCTGATATGTTTCTCTATTGTAGAATACCAACAATCAGACCGTGTGATGCGTCAATTTGGATTTCGAAAAAATGTACCCCATCCACCGATGAATCTAGATGAGGAACATAAACAGGATATGAGAGGACGCGCAGATTGGAATTGGAAAGAACACCATCAACAATGGATTGCATTATGGAATGACCGGCATAATCGTGTATTCAACGGTATTCCATTCCAAAAAAATGGTCACTTGCGAGATGAATCCGAGTACATGCAATGGTATATAACTCATACAATCCGCTATATTGCTCTCATAAAAGATTCAATCGACAAAGAGGTACTACAATATCCCCACCTTTTAAATTATGAAAAAGTCTTATTATCTTGCGTTCTTCAATCAAACATTGTCTTTACCAGTATGACATGGAGCACGAACAACAGTTCCAACCGCAATTTGCATACCGTGCATCACCACCGTATCATGATCCACAAAGGTCTGCCTCTGACCATGTCAACTATCAACATCCATCTCTGAATTCAAGGTTCGAACAACACATCCCACCTCCATCAACATATCCTCAGGTTGAGACCTCTTATTTCGCCTTTCCACCATCAACATCGTTCAGTGGAGGTCCATAATCTTTTATTGGAGGTCCTTCCAATTATTTTGGAACCTCAACAATGACTCCACCATCTTCATACCAACACGCTTCATCGTCACAAAACGTGTATCGACCGACCCTTGATTTCCAAAACCTTCAACAGTCCAATGAAAGTCATCCCACTAATGAAGACCAACACACGCAGAGTCCCACACTACAACAACAACAACAAAGGCGAGGCCAACGACAACGACGAAGACCAACATGTGGGACTGGAGGACATAGATAAATTGCCTCATCAATTTATTTATAATTATGTAATTTGTCTATAATTTCTTAATTAATGACAAAAATTTCTATCATTACAAACTTTTATTCTTTTCAGTTATTATTGCCCATTCATGTCAAAACAAATATATATATAAATCAATTTTAATATATGATGCATTCAATCAATACTAAAGCAACAAAGAAATCAAATTTTGTTCCTTCACACACTGGTAATCGATTACAGTTTATACTGTAATCGATTACCAGATAGACCCTGTAAGGGATTACAGGCTTTGCTGTA